GGGGCGCCCACGCGCGGGGCGCTCCGCGCTCGTGCGCTCCATCCCGCGGGGCGGCTGCGGGCGAGAGCTGCTGCGCGAGACCGCGCGCCGTGGGCAGGGGCTCTGCGGCGGCACCTTCGCCTCTGCCCGATCGTTCCATGTCTGCGCACGTTTTAGAGCAAACTTTTTTTTTTCTTTTTCTAAAAAGAGATAGTCAAATACATCCCTCCGCTACCAAAATTGTGTTGAAGTGATATCCCTATGCTCGCACATTTACAGGTTCCAAATGTCCCTGTCTACGCTTTCCCAACAGCCATTTTCATATGAAGAATTTCCTCTAATTTTGTGGTTACAGATTTTAACGACGACATGGCATTTTATATTCCTCACACATTCTAAGTTAATTTATTTCTAGTATTTTTTTTCTAACATATGTTTAGAGTGTATTTTATCCTCCAGTAATCCTTTTGGCTGCCATTAACTCTTTTTCCTTGTCCTGCTCTGGACAACCACCTTATTGAGACAGAGGGAACTGTGTGGGCACAGGAGTAGAGAACAGGCTTCCCGGGATATCTTTGGGATATCATTGGGATCCTCTGAAAATTTTATTGTCCCTTCCTTGCTTGGGCTTCCTTCTGTCACAATTCACAGAAGTTTCACTATCGCTTCCTATGCAGCTGCAGGATTTCTGTGTTTGATGCACAGAGAGACCTTGCTCTACTAGTTGAGGGTACCATGGCTGCCTTGAGCAAGATCACTTATAATTTTACTACATCTGTCTTACTAATATGCATTTAAAATGCATAAGAGAGCTCGGCATCTGTAAACTGCCTAGTTTTTTTGCACCAGTGTAGTCCACCTTCCTTCACACAAACTCTTTGTTGCTTACACAGGTTTTTCAAGCACAGGCTGCTTATGAGCTTGTACTGACACACCTGAAAACGCGAGGTGTCCTCTTGGGGCATCATTGGAGACCAGGCGTGGGCGTTCGGAGAGAGGTTCTGGCTGATGAAAAAGAGCATCAGCATCTCTGTATTTGGGCTGTGAGTAAGGGGTAAGACCTATCGTCATGTCTAAACTACAGAGAGAGCCTAGTCTGTGGTTCTTCTGTAAGCTGCTAGGGCAGGAGACCTCTGAGGCTGAAGCTGAATCGCGTGGGGCCGTCAGCCTTAGGGTGCTCTGCTGCTTCTCTCCTCCCTCGTACCAGCTTTGCCACTCGCCGCCACTTTCCTGCACCGATTCAGCTCACTTAGCAGGACACTTTTCCCTCTTCCTCATCTGGGTTGGTTTTCTGTTGATTTAATGAGCCAAAGCTCTATAAGATGAGCTAACCAGAGCTAATGTGGAAAAGAGGAACAAAATTTTCCCCTTTCTGGGGAAGGAAGCCATTAGACTAACTCAAGCCGTGACAGGTAATTGTACCCTGAGAGATGGATTCCCGGGAGGCTGAAGCCAACCTGAAGGAAAAAACTTCCTTTTTCCCCCTCCCTTAGTGGTGTTTTTCCCCATGCCTCCGCTGTGTTGGCTCTAGCAATCAGCGGTCGCATGCTAAGTTAGATCCACTTGCCAACGGAGCTGAAAGCTAATCCAGAAAAAAAAAAAAAAAAAA